GGCCTCAAGGGGAGCATAAGGAAGTGAACGGTGGGCCTCTGGGAGACAGATCTTCAGGGGTGGGTGGGGCGCCCGCCTGGCCCGGCCAGAGGATGAGAGGGGGTTCCAAGGGCTTTGGACTGACAAGTTGCAGCGGCGGGCTGTTTGGCCAGCAGATGGCGCTGTGTTCCTTGGTGTGTGATCCGCGCGGCTCGGTCCAGAGCCCACAGAAGCCTGTGCACACTGAACACGCACACAGTAACCCTGCACATCTACACTGACCTTCACTTGTACCCAAGGGGCTGTGTCTTCTCGGTGTAAACTGCTCACTCTGTGTGTGTGTATGTGTGTGCCTACGTGTGCGTGTGCATGTGTGTGTGTATGAGAAGCGCCACATCAACCCACCTCCATTCTGTCACAGGGCTGGTGAGGATCAGATCTAGGAGTCTGGCTCCCTGTGTTCTCAGAGAGGCATATGTGTGCGCCACACGCAAGCACACACATGCTCAGTCACCCCTGGCCCTCTGCTCCTCCTGGAAATGGAACCCGGGAAGAGCCTTGCTTCTCCTATGGGAGGCTTCTCCCCGCTCTCTGCCCAGGGGCCGCTGGTTTTCTCCAGGTAGCAAGGTGGACTTGGGGACACAATGGGGAGATGGAAGAGGACCAGGGGTTAAGGCAGAGAAAGGATGTAGGGGTTGAGGGGAGAGTTGGTTCTCGAAGCCCCTCCGGAGCTTCAGCTTCCTCTGTCAGGTGTGGACGAGGCTTCCACAGTTCGGGAGGATTGGTGAGATGATGTGAGGGAAGCTGCCTTGAATCCCCTTTCTGGTGTGCTTCTCCCTCCTGTCCCAGTACGTCCCTCCTCCCCCCCCCCACCCCCCCCGGCCCCTTTTGCTCCCTCTCCATTCCCCAAGCTGAGAGGACCACAGTCAGAGCTCACACTGCCCCTGGTGCACATGCACCTACACTCACCCCGCATCCCGCTCTGGCTGGGGCGTCCAGAGACGGGCCTGTAGGAGGTTAAAAGCCCATGGCCACCTGACAGGCATCTGTAGGCAGCCAAGTGTGGGGCCTTGGCAAAAAGCTTCTGAGCATAAGGGACCTCAGAGCTCAGCAGTAGAGCCCAGATCTGGTGGGGTCCAGGGAGGTGCAGGCTGCACCTGGAGCTGGAGTGGGAGCAAGCCCTGGTCAAGGCCCACTTGGCCTCAGGGGGTGAAGGACCTTGTTCTGGGCCAGACGTGGCCACAGGAGGCTCTGCTCTAGGCCAGCTGGAGACCAGAGCCGCTGGTGCATTGGCTTCTCTCGGCATCCAGAGCCCAGAGCAGGAACCCCAGGAGCTACTAGCCCTGGAGCTGCCACAACAACCAGGACCCCTCCCCACCCAGCCCACACCCGTCTCCCTGGAGAGGCGAGGGAAACGGCAATCCTAACAGCCAACATTTTCTGGCTCAGCGACACTCTTCTAGGTGTCAGCACATTTACCCCTAATGACACGTGGGGAAGTGGGAATTATCTCCGTTTACAAATGGGGAAACAGCTCACAGAAGTTACATACTGGTGAAGGGTGAAGTATACAGGGCAGTGTGCAATTGCTTTTGCTTGTATTGTCTTATCAAAGGCTCTCAACAGCTAGGCATTAGTGCTCCTCGGTGGACAGGTGCAGAAACCGAAGGTAGGTAAGGTATAGGGTCTAGGTAAGGTATAGGGAAGGCCTTTGAGGCCCTATCTGCAGGAAGGGAAAGAGAAAGATGCCCTTGAGGTTTCCTGGGACAGCCCCTAGGCAAAGAACCCACCGAGCTAGGGAGGAATGTCACCCACACTACTCCTGTGGCCACATTCCTTCATTCCTTGAGCATTTTTTGAAAGCCTCTTTTATACCAGGTAAGCATGGGAGTCTGCACTGGAACAGGGGAGGCACTAGGGAGGTAGAAGCCAGAAGTAGCCACTGGCTGGAGAGGAAAATCAGGGCAGGCTTCAGAGAGGAACTAGACCCGAGCAAAGTCTTGAAAGGGAGACAAAGAGGCATAAGAAACCCATGGTCTCTCTACTACTCCGGGATTATCCAGGACTGTTATCAAAGTGAAGGGAGAAGTGAAAGCCCCAGAGGAGACTGGGACCAGCCCTGAGAGGGTCCTAATTGCTCAAAGGGAGCCAGGAGCACAAGGAAGCGCCCCTGACTGGATGCAAGAGAAAGGCTGCCTCTTCTTCAGGGCCCAAGGGAAGCAGGTGAGGGCATGGGGCATCCGCAGGTGAGTTCGGAAGGATAAGAAGTCTTGCCTGTGAGTGTCTCTTTCTAGGGGGCACAGGAGGCAAGCTGGTGCTCTGGAAGAAAGCTGGAATGGGGGCAGTTGGAGAGCTTGGGCAAGGTTGGAAGTAGGCCTTAGAAGTATGGGGAGAGAGCAGGCTGAGGATGGCATAAGGATTGCTGAGCAGAGCCGGGACCCCTGCTGGGGCCAGAGACCATGGACTTGTCATGGCAGCAGTCAGCATGGATGGGCGAGTTTCTCCAGCAGTGCTCAGCAGCGCGGATCAAGGCAGAGGACTGCCAAGGAGAATGAAATGGGGAGATGCAGGGGGTGGGGCTGAGAGAACAGGGAGTGGGGTGCTGACACCTGGGGATCTGGCAGGGGAGGGGAGGGTGAGGCCAGCAAGGCTGGAAGAACAGAAGGGGGATGAGGGAGGCATTTTACAGACCCTGAGATGGGAGAGAGTGGATGGACAGAATCTATAATTAGAGCTGGACATTCCACTGGCAGATTTCAGACGGCTCAGTCCCAGGTGAGAAGGTATCAGGCCGTAAGGACAGCTGACTGAAATGAAGTAGATATGAAAGTCACCTGCCTTGGGGAGGTCAAGAAGCTTTTATTCATCCATTCATTCACTCAACAAATATTTACTGAGCACCAACTATGGCTAATCCCTGTGCAAAAACAGTGTATGTGGGGATGAGTGAAATTTTGTTCCTGCCTCCTGAGGGACTCACTGCCTCATTAAGGAGACACGTTAACACCATGACAGCACTCTGGTGACTGGAGTGTACAGAAATGCCCAGATGCGGTGGGAGCACGCAGAGGGGTCCTCCCTCACCCAGGAAAGGAGGGGACACTGAAGTTGAGCCTTAGGGATGAGTTAGGAGTTACCCAAGCAAAGGATGTAGGAAGGGCTCTCTGAGGAGAAGACAAGGCATCCGCTAAGGAAAGGCCAGCACGGAGTGTTCCGGAACCACTGGCCCTTTGGTGAGGCCACAGGGTAAAGGACAAAGCAGGGAGCAGGGAGAGGTGAGGTAGGAGGAGCAGGATCCCAGCGGACCCTGTAGACCAGGCATGAGGGACGCTTTGAAGGGATTTTAGCAGAGTAACAGCAGGATCAGATTTGCATTTTAGAAAGATCACTCGGGCTGCAGTGTGGATAATTGATTGGAGCTGAGAGAGGGAGCAGACAGAATGGTTAAAGGCCGCAGGGCATCAGGGGTGGTAAGAAGAGGGCACTGTCAAGAAATATTTAGGATTCAAAACCAGCAGGATTTGATGCCGTTATTGGTTGGGGGCAGGAGGGAGAGAAGGGTCAAGGATGCTTCCCAGGTGCCACCAACGGAGCTGGAGAAAACAGGGAGTGCATTGGGGCCGGGGCACAGAGAGAGGTCTCCTTCTGAAACAGGCTGCATTTGAGGAGCCTAAGGAGGGGGGGGGGGGGGGGGGGGGGCGGAGGGAGTATCCATGGAGCAGGGACCCACGGCCTGGGGCAAGGTGGGGGCACCCCAGTGTGGTTAAAAGACGAAACTGTTATTTTAACAGCCACACAAAGAAAGCACCTTTGTTTGAGAAAATACCTGTGGGTGGCTCAGTCGGTTAAGTTGCCGACTTCAGCTCAGGTCATGATCTTCATGAATTTGAGGCCCGCATGGGGCTCTGTGCTGACAGCTCAGAGCCTGGAACCTGCATCAGATTCTGTGTCTCCTCCCTCTCTCTCTGCCCCTCCCCCACTCATGCTCCATCTCTTTCTCAGTCAAAAATAAATTTTAAAAAACATTAAAAAATTAATTAAAAAAAAAAAAGGGCAGAGCCTGGGGCATGGGTGACCTCCGGGCCAGCACTGCCACAAAAATGGTTTGGCTGCCGTGTGGGAGGCTCGAGCAGAATTGTTCAGGCCCCTGAGGAGGAGGAGAGCAGAGAGCGGAAGAGAGAGGGGCTGAAAGGGAGGGGGTGGGCAAGGGAGACAGAAAGGGGCAAGGACACGCCAGTGAAGGACCAGTGGAAATTCCCAGCTGGCAGGGGAAATCTCCACTGCCGTGCATGTCGTCTCATTAGCTGTGGAATAAGCCCCTCCTCCCTTTGTCCCCTCCGCACCCACACAGGCCCATGTCCTTAGTTAGTAAAGTTGACTATTCACATTTGCTTTCTATGAGTAGGGGGTTAGGTGGGAATGGGGGAAAGAGCTTCATTTCACATCCGGGTTTATGGGTCGTAGAATAGTGTCAGCCCATCTAGAGGCAGAGCCTGCAGGCAGAGGGGGCCAGGAGAACAGGCCTCTGAAGCTGCACAGGACCCTCTGAAGCAGGCCTTGGACTTGGGGAAATGGTCAGCTTGAGGCCTCTGAGCTGACATCGGGATGTGAGCGCCCAGGAGTCCCCTGCGCGCCAGGACTCCTGTACCTGCCGCCCTTGGGCCAGGCGTCTGCCTGCAGCAAAGCGAGGCCCGTCCAGCTTGGAAACCTGGAGGTTCCGGCTCAGTGCCTGGGGGCTGCCCCCCTCCCCCAGCTGTCAGGTGAGCTCAGGGTGGAGCAGGCATGTGAGCACCACTCCTTATATGAGCCCCACACCTCCCACCCACCCAGACACACAGACTCCTGCCAGCCCGCTCCCTGCCAGTCTGACCAGGTGGGGGCCAGAGGAGCCTCAACACAGCGAGACAGCCAGAGCAGGCCAGAGGCGAGAGACGCCAGGAGGCAGCGAAGATCAGAGCAAGAGGTCCCGGGAGTGGAGGCGGCAGCCAAGGCAGCAGGACCAGGACACCGTGCGGCCAGGTGGTCAGGCTTGGCCAGGATGCTGGTGGGCCAGCTCTGGAGAGCTATCAGCAAGGCGCTGTTTGCCGAGTTCCTGGCTACAGGGCTGTACGTGTTCTTCGGTGTGGGCTCGAGTCTGCCCTGGCCCTCGGCGCTTCCCACGGTGCTACAGATCGCCATCACCTTCAACCTGGTCACGGCCATGGCTGTGCAGGTCACCTGGAAGGCCAGCGGGGCCCACATCAACCCTGCTGTGACGCTGGCCTTCCTAGTGGGCTCCCAAATCTCCCTGCCCCGTGCCATGGCCTATGTGGCTGCTCAGCTGGCGGGGGCCACTGTGGGGGCCGCGGTGCTTTATGGGGTCGTACCAGGAGACATCCGAGAGACCCTTGGGATTAACATGGTAGGTGCAAGGAGGGGCACCAGCAGGGCCAGGAAAGGGATGCCTACACAGGTGGAGGGCCAGGCCTGAGGAGGGGACAGGGAGGTGATAACTGGACCCTGTGCTTCTTACCTGCTCTGGGCTGGGCCCTGGAACCCAGGGGAAGCAGACTGTGGCCTTAGCACAGGCAGAGGAGAAGTGGGATTAAGGTATGAGAACAGGGAGAATAGAGAGAAGCCACACTAAGGGGCAGGAATCAGAGAAGGACCAGGCATTTAAGGGGCAGAGTAGCAAGGTGGGGGGGGGGGGGGGTTAATGCAGGGGACCCGGCCTGCCCTTCTCTCCAGGTCCACCCCATGTGCCCTGCTCCTCTGTGTTCACATGTTCCTCCTTCCTCAGCACCCTGAGGCCTCACTCCCCCAGATTCCCCTAATCATCTATCCTTCCACCTACGTCCCCAAGTCTCCTCCTTCCACTCCTACCCACGGTCTCCTCCCAGTCTGCTCAAAAACATGCACCCCAGCTGCTCTGAGCCTTCCCTTCCCCACCAGTCCTGAGCCTGTCACCAGCTACTGGCCCCAACCCACCGGTGGGCTAGGAGGGGTGCCATGCGTTTCTGCAGGGAGCAAGTGTCCAGGGCTGACCCGAACTGTACTGCACAGCTGGCCCTGGTCCTTCATCTCCGTAAGTCCTGGACTTGGTGGTGGTGAGGTGTCACCTCCTCACACTGAGGAAATGAGGTCCAATGGGGTCTCCAGCCCGTGGCAGAGCCCCCTGTGCCTCCAGCAGAGCCTCCTCACCCAGGTCCGGAGCAACGTCTCAACTGGCCAGGCCGTGGCAGTGGAGCTGGTTCTGACCCTGCAGCTGGTGCTCTGTGTTTTTGCTTCCACTGACAGCCGTCAGGCATCGGGCTCCCCAGCTATCATGACTGGGATCTCTGTGGCATTGGGCCATCTCACTGGGGTAAGAGGCGAAGAGGGTACTGCGTATATGCACACACTGGCTCCTCCCTGGGGAGGCTGCAGGGGCCCTGAAGGCCAGGAAGTGTCCCTCCCTGAGCCCCTCATGTGTTGGGTTGAGGGCTGTATTCCCGCAATCTGGGCCCAGGATACGGCAGTGCCCAAGGTTGGTGCCAGGGCAGAGGGGGCTGTCCCCTCCCAGGCCTGCTTTAAGCCTCCTCACACCCCAAACCTTCACTTGCCCCGCCCCAGATCTACTTCACCGGCTGCTCCATGAACCCGGCCCGCTCCTTTGGCCCCGCCATCATCCTTGGGAAGTTCGCGGTCCATTGGGTGAGAGCCTGTACTGGCAGCCATTAGATGGGGGGAAGCCTGAGTAAGGGAGACAGGGATTATGCGTTTCACCAGCAGTGGGTCCACAGGGACTTGGGGAGACAAGAACCCCTACCATGGGCCATCTTGACCCCCAAAGGAGGTTTCCCTAAGCTCAGAAGACAAAGGCGAGTATCCTGGCTTGTATTTCCTATCTTTCCAGCTTCAATAGCCCGGAGTACCCAGTGGAATGTCAATAAATGGGCCAGGGCAGAAGATGCAGCCTTGGCCCAGGCCTCAAGTCCTGGCTGTTTCCTTATTCACTTTCTCCAGCTGGACCAGTTTCCAAACTTGGATAAAGAAAAAGACAAACAGAAATAGACACACACACCAGCAGAGGCAGGAACAGCACTAGCCAGGCTTCTGGTTAGAACAAGGGAGGGGAGACGAGGGAAACGGGAGTGGTGAGGAGACCAGGCCCACCCTATTGAAGGCAAGTTCGCCTCACCTGCATGGACCTGGTATGCAGAACACCTGCTTCTCAATTCTGTCACCTTGTGACAGCTCAAGGGGTCCTGGGAGACAGAGGAAACACTAGGGAAGCAGGCAGGGATCCCAAAGCTACCCTATGATCCTCATCGCTCCTGAGTGGGGTGCCTACTTCTCTCTCCCTCCGCAGATCTTCTGGGTGGGACCCCTGACAGGAGCTGTCCTGGCTTCGCTGATCTACAATTTTATCCTGTTCCCTAACACCAGAACCGTGGCCCAGCGACTGGTCATCCTCATGGGCACTGAAGAAGTGGAGAAAGTGACAGGGGTAGAGCCCGAGAAGAAAGAATCCCGCTCCAGTTCAGGGGATACTGAAATGGGGAACGTGTGTCAGATAATATAGAACTTGGTCCCTGCCTTCTGGATTCTGAGAGGAGCCCTTTAGGTGGGTAGCATGCCTTGTAGGACTAGACTTCAGGTTTTACAGGAAAGTGGGGTTGGGGGTGAATGAGGGCAGGAAAGATGGGAAGGCTTAGCCTCCTGTCCAAACACAGTGGGCAGGGAATGCCACTCCCTATCCCCAGCATTATATTTCTGGATAGAAAGAATCTGGGGAGCAAATCTGTTCAGCTTCCTCCTCCTACATCTCTTAATGGGACAGAGCAGGAGGCAGGTGAATTCATGATTGTCCTCTCCTTCTTTCATCCATCTGGACCTTAGTGGGCATCCTGGGCTTCCTTGGGTATTGGAGGCCACAGAGCCACTCAGCTTAGACACTAAGAGATATAGAGACCTTGGGGAACCCCAACTTCTCACCCCACCCGTGGGGGGAAAGCCAGATTTCCCAGAAGAATCAGGCCCCAGAACAGTCTCTGAACTCCTCAGCGGTATATCTCTGCTCTTGGATATGGTTTGGGGGCTACCGACCTGCCCTCAGCCTGGGGGCTTCCTGAGGACAGGGACAGCCCTTCCAATAGACCTCCATTCCTCACACCTCCAAATGCTCAGGAGAGGACCCCACCCTTGGGAAGCACTGACGCAGAGAGGAACCTTTTCTAGGGCTGGCAGAGGAGCAGCATATGGGCAAGGGAGGTTTTTGGGCCAAACAGGCCTTTTCCAGGTGTTTGCCCACCTTCCACCCAGTTCTACCAAGATCCTCAAAAAGCCCTTAAGTCCAGGGATGGTAAGAACTCAGGAATGACCCAAGAAACCGATTTGTGTTCAGTGCCTCTGAGAGACTACTCGGTGTCAGTTGGTTTGCTAATATTTACAAGCTGCTGTAAATATACTCTCCCCATGACTTGGGGCCCTACTTGGATCTTGGCTTCCTCAGCTATAAAATGGGCATAGTCCTCCCCCAGGGCCTGCTGTGAAGGCAAGAGATTGGAAAATGTTTTTGGAAGTTAAAATGCTTAAAAAACAAACCCAATAAATGATGATTATTGTAGCTGTTACTGTAATTATTGGGTTTGAATACAATTGCTGTTGGTAATGGGAGGGAGGGAGGAAGAAGAGAGATGGGGGGATGATTGAGAGGGAGGGAAAAGAGAGTACGTTTTTCTCCTTTCATCTGTTCTACTTACACGGGGCCCTGCGATCTTCTCTCCTGGGTCTGCTGACCTGGGAGCTTTGTGTGTGTGGAGGGGGATGAGGAGGGACACTGGAACAAAGAGATAAACCAATAAAAGTCAGTTCTTCCCATCTCTATGGTGCCCATCACCATGGTACCCTGAGATACAGCAACTAAATCCATAAAAAAAGATAGGTCCTTTTCCATGATGTCTCCAAAAGCACTGGGGATGGAGGGGCTACCAAAGTCTTTCAAGGGCAGGGTGACAGAGCAAGAGCTGAGTCCCCAAGTCCTCGTGGCCACAACGGCCGTGTTCAGCGTTCTTTAATATTGTCAGTGCAGAGTACTATTCACGTCTCTCCAAGCCGGGCCCCACTCATCCATCTTCACAATCTCTCAGTGCCCAGGGGCTTCTTGTGCCCTTTCATAAGCAGGGACAGCTGAGTGTGTGTATGTGTGTGTGTGTGTGTGTGTGAGCGCGCGCGTACAAAGGATATAATCGACTTGCTAAAGGTCACCCAGCTCAGTACCACAGCCCCCTAAGGTCTCCCCAGCTCCAGCTTAGAATTCTCCAAAATAGAGCTCCAGGGGGGCTTATCTGAGCTGCAGCCAGAGGGAGGAAGGAAACAAGAACTAGAAGGCTAAAGAGGGCAGGAGGGGTGGAGCTCCTGCAGTGGGCTCTGAAGCTCCTAGACAAATCGTCTCTGCATCCCCAGAGCAGAGCACACACTGGGTGCTCAATAAAAGTTTGATGAATGAATGACTGAGGCCGGGTGACTGGGGAAGGAGGGGAGGCAGTAATTGATCAAGAGGAAAATTCAGGAGTTATAACTTCAGATGAGCCAGGAGGAGAGCAGCTGAGATGCCTATGCTCCAAAGGAGGGGTAGCTGCACAAGAGTGCACAGCCACTTGTGCCCTCCCACCCCCAACTACTCCAGACCACAATGTGTAATCTGTCTCAGGAACTTCCAGGCCAAAAGGGTAAGGGGGGCTGTTTTCATAAATACTTCTTTAAAGCTATGCTGTCAGAATAGACTAGAGCAAGAAGACACAAGCTTCATGAAAAGTGAGGAAATAGGTTAGAATCTGAAGAGCATCCAAAGTTAGACACAGGAATGAGTAACCAAAGGTTAGTTTCTCCTTCTCTGGAGCCCTTTAATAGGACAGCCAGCCATCTGTTTGGTTGAGGGAAAGGCTGGCCCTCAGGGAGCCAAATTCAGAGGTTCTGGCCAGGGGCAATGGAGCTTCACAGTCCCAGCCCCTAGGTCTGGGTGGGGGACAGGAGCACGGGGAGGACGGAGACCCAACCAGGCAGACCCTTGGTGTGCCTGCCCTTCCTCCTGTTTGTCAGGGGAAGTTTTTAATTAATGGTGTGTAATCTGATCTGGCCCTTCTCCCCGCTGAGCACTGCCTTCAATCAGTGGAGCCATCTGCAATTGCAATTCATAATTCTCCCAAAAGGGAGGGGGTGCCTTGGTGATTAATACAATTAGCCTTTTATGTTGATGATTGTCTTAGCAGGAGCAGATGATGTGAGCACAGAGCCTGGGCTGCCGCTTCCCCCATTGGCTGGCAGGAAGCCCCTCTCCACTTCCCGCCCCCACTGCTACCTCCGGCTGTAAAGAGGACACACTGAGACCACACTGTGCAAGGTTGGGGGGAGAGCCCAGGAAGGGGCCAGGCCCTGGGACACATTTAGGCTCCTCGGACTTTGGACTGAGGGGAGAGGAAGAGAAGACTGGAGAATTATCCAGAGACTTTCACTTTCCAAACAAAATCACTTTGACTTAAAGGTTTCTGTGTACCATAGTTTAAAAAAAAAAAAAAAGACTACATAAAGGTATATAATAGGGGTTGAAAACATTTAAATATAGGGTCAGGCAGTTATACTGCTCTGTGAACTTGAGCAAGTTACTTAAGGATCCTACTTCACTTTCCTCATCTGGAAAATGGGGTCTATTCGATAAGGGGGCTGGAACCACATGGAATGTGTGTGTTTGGCAAGGCAGCTGACACAGATCTCAGTCCCTGGTAGGGCGGTCACCATTTCTGCGGTAGACTGCAACTCCCTCTGCCAGCGGCTAAGCTGCCTCCCCGGCAGTTTCAAACGCAGCCCAGCCAGCTAGTACTGAAGAAACACTTCCTCTCCGTTCCCCAGCCTTAGTTAGCTTAAGCAAAGGAGACAGAGACAGAGACAGAGAGAGAGAGAGAGAGAGAGAGTGTTGGGGGAGGAGGATCCCAAAGGAAAGGAGTCAAGAATCAAACCCAAGAAAGAAAGAAAGACCTCCCCAGAACACAGAACTGGAGCGCTAGAGTGATCGATCATGGCTGAGAGTTTGTGGAAAGATCGAGGGGATGAGAGGAAGGAGGCTGGGCCAGTATAAAGGGGTAAAAAGATGCAGGGCTTTGAACATCTGGAATTTTATATGGAAGCTAAGAAAACATAAGGGGAGCAGCCATCATTGCTGAGGGTTTAAAAGGTAGCACAGATTAAAGTCTGTGATCTCTGATCTATAATAAGGTCAAAGGATCTGCAACAAGCTGATTGGGGTCTTGATGGGGGAGTGCACTGGGTCAGGAGAGGCGATCGCCTCAGTCCCTCTGGGCCCACGGCACTGCGCTTCATGACCTGGAGCAGCACAAGAAGAGAGCTCCTTATGGAGAGGGATGTTAACCCAGAGCCGGTGCCAGGCCCCAGCAACACCAGGGGGAAGACAGGGAGTGAAGAAGGGAAGGGAGAAGTTAAGGGCTAATCAAGAAGCATCCGGCCAAACAGTGGCCACTGGGTAGCTGGGGCGGGGGGGTCTGCACAGCCAAGATGTGCAATCACCTCTCAGGGAGGGGCGGCTACGCTGAGGAGCAATCCATCGTTAGCAAAAGCTGGAGGGGAGCTCGGTTAGTGAAGGCGGTTTATGAGAGTGTGGAGTCCGACAGCACTAATTAATAGACTGCAGTTAATGGGCAGAAAAGGGGGGAATGAAAACTGTGTCAGAGCTCTGATTAAGTCGGCTGAAGGGGCAGTTATTGCCAGAGTGAGGAATGGAGGGTGCCACTGACAGTGGCAGGGACCAACAACTGCACCCTAGTCCCATGGACATATGAAACAAGGCCCAGCCAGGCCAGGGCCCAGGCCAAGATCAGGAGAGGCCAGGACAGTTGCCGGGGATGTCCAGTTATGAGGCACCAGACTGGAGGTGCCTCTCCGCCCAGAATCTGCTTCCGGGCCCTCTCTACTGTTCATCCTGAGGCGCAGCTTTAATGTCATCACCTCTGAGGCTCTTAAGCCTCCAGCCACCCGCTCCTGAGCTCCAACACTCTGCACACACCTCCATCCTAGCACTGAACACACTATGCAGTTGTTTGAACACCTCTCCCTATAGGAACATGAGGACCTTCTTAAACAAAATTATATTTTTAGTCTACTTCTTGTCTCAGGGCAACAGGTTCCTTAACTTGACTGTCCTTTTTTTATGGGGTCCCCAAACCATGACCTTCCAATTTCAAGGGAGGAAAGACCTCTGATATTCTAGGTTTTGTGAGCAAATTGGACCAAGGATTGCAATAAACACAACCAGCTCCCTGCCCGAACAGACCTCTGATCTCTTTTACGTGTTAAAGCACCCCAATGTTTCAGCACTATGTACTGATTTCAGAACCGCACCAGAAAGTACCACTATTTTGGTCATAGCCTCACTGATTTACAATGGCTTTTTGCTACCTTTCCCCAACTCAGGGGTCATGTGCAGTGGCTCTAGGATGGGTCATGACTGGGACAGATTTTGATCTTATCCTACACATTGCCTGCCTGCCTCTTTGTGTTAGATGTCCCGAG